AGCCCCTATCAAAGCAACATCATATTTGCAAAATTTGTAGTATGAATAAACATCACATTTTGGTTAAGCTTGGATGGAAAAATGATGAACTCATTGATGCATTACACAAAGATTTCAGAGACAATGTTCCAGAGAAATCACAGTTTACAAATGGATAACTTCCTCTAGGAAACAAAATGATGTTTTAGATGAGCCCCACAATGGATGATCAGCCATATCATTTTTTGATAAAAAAACAATCACTCTGGTTGTGCTGTTATTAAAAAGACTAACCATTTCCAGCAAGAATAGTGACCAACACCACAGACATCTCAACTGATTTAGCTTACATAATTCAGACTGAAAAAATGGAAATGCGGAAAATTTTTGACTTGATGTGGTGCCAAAACTGTTGTGCCCAGATCAGTTGAAGACAGTAGTGGAGCTTTCCATGGAAAACAGGAGGATCAACATCCTGAAGCATTTCTTTGAAAAATTGCAAGAGCAGATGAAACATGGCTTTACCAATATAATTCTGAAGACAAGGCACAAGAAAAACTTTGCCTGCCAATATTGGAAAGTGGTCTGGTCAATGCAACATGAGACAGGAGGGACAATGAACAGTATCAAATGGTATTAAGGGTGGGTTTTTTTTTTCTTTCTTAAGATTTATTTATTGATTTGAAAGGCAGAGTTAGAGAGAGGCAGAGGGAAGGAGGGAGGGAGAAAGTGGAAGAAGAGGAGGAGGGGGGGAGGAGGGGGAGGAGATAAAGAGAGAGAGAGACAGGGAGAGCAAGGGAGAGGTCTTCCATCCGCTGGTTCACTCCCCAAAAGGCCGCGTTGGCCAAAGATGAGTTGATCCGAAGCCAGGAACCAGCCATCTTCCAATGCTTTCCCAAGCTATAGCAGAGAGCTGGATCAGAAGTGGAGCAGCCAGGATTCAAACTGGCAATCATACGGGATGCCAGCACTGCAGGCGGAAGCTTTACCTGCTATGCCATAACGCTGGCCCCTATTAGTGTATTTTGAGAGAGTCAAAAGCAACAGCAGAGAAACACAGGGGAGAATGTCATCATTGAGCTCTAACCCATCATGATAATGTTCCTCGTCATTTCCCCTCATCACACAAGGGCCAATATGTGAGAACAGAAAAATAGAAAACCATGAAGGTTCTGCCTTGCCTTCTTTATCTGGTCCTTCCTGACTAATATTTGCTTTATAATTCTTATAAATTATTTTTAAAGATGCTCATTTTTCTTCACTTAATAATGATAAAAAGACTGCATTAATGTGACTAAGTTCCCAGGAACCAAAGTTCTTTATGAATGGACTAAATGGATGGCACCATCAACTAAAACAATGTTTTAAGCTTTAAAAATTTACATGGTGAAAAAAAAGTTTATTTTTTATTGACAATTAATTTTTTCAACTATTGTGAGGTTCTATGTAGAGAGGGGATAAATTGAATTAAAATATGTTTATTTGGAGTGATAAATTTTTGGATTCCACACACAGTTTTTTTAATAATATTCACTTTCATGTGTGTGTGTCTGTGTGTGTGTGTGTGCATTCGCCCTCCCAAATGTCTAGAATGTCATTATTACTATTTTGTGAATCTAACTGACCCCAGATAGGTGTAAGGCTAGTTATGGGAACATTTATGCTTTCAACAGTGACTGGAAATGCTGCTAGCAATGTGGTAAATTGGAGTCAGTGATATAAAACATTTTGCACTGGGTGAAAATGTTCTGGATAGCCCAAAATTATATTACTCAAAATGCTGGTAGTGTGTGCTTTTAGACACACATTGTTTAGCTATTTCAAATCCTCATGTTAATCACCTTTTACTGATAAAGCTCATTAAATATATTTATATGTAATGAGATTTCTTTGGTTTGGCTTTTATAAAAATATTTTTTGTATTGCTAAAAGAAAGACAGATTCAGTTGAACAGTTTATTCTGTCTTTATTCCTTTCAACTCTCCTCATCACTCAATGTGCATGAGAGGTCTCCTTTATTTGAACACAAAACAATTATTATGTGATAAAAACCAATATAATATACAAAGGATGAAAATAATATAATGGAAGATAATTTGGATTCCTGAATATATATCTGAGATGTCACCCTAAACCTGGGTTTTCTAACACATAAACTTATTTAATGTAATAAAAGAAATATTGCTTCAATAAAAACATGTATTGTTGCTTCAATTGAAAGTCAAGTTTTAATTCATCTTTTTAATTACCTGCAGTTCAAAAGAACACTCTCAGAAATGAAAAGTTTATACTGAGCTCATGAGTAAAAATCCACATGGAAATTATGGGCTTCCTATAAACAAGATACAAAAAGGTTTTTGAGTATATATGTGATGTTATTTTTTAAATTTGTATTAAATATTGAAAAAGACAAGTGCTATGGGCAGCAGCATTCTTAGTTTCTAAACTTCATTTCTGGATGACTGGAAATAGAAGCACAGCTGAAAAAAAAGCCTAACTATAGATAAAATAGACATTTTCTTAATAAAAGCACTAACTAAAGAGGTGGCAACGTAGGTTTCACCACAATTGTCAGGTTCACTTGGAGACCAATGAGCCTTCAGCTTTCTTGGGGTAGAGGTTTGAAGCTGCCATAGCAGTGTAACCAAAAGACACACACAACTCATTATAGTGACCAACAGGAAACCTGAGCCAAAGAGTTGTCTGGTGAAAGGAGTATTCATATTAACATTAGAATATTCAACTGGGAAACCAGCGTTGTGGCACCACATGTTAAGCTTCCTCCTGCAATGCCAGCATCCCACTTGAATTCTAGTTCAAGTCTCTCCTGTTCTACACTTGATTCAGTTTCCAAACAAATAAATAAGCCTATTTTCAAATACATACATAAAAATTGTAAAAAAAAAAAAATCAAAACACTATCTACCAAAAAATAAATAAGTTAAATGACTCAAGTACTTGGGGCCCTGCCATCCCCATGGGAGACCTGGGTAGATTTTCAGGCTCCATGCCCAGTCGTGGCCCTTGCAGCCATTTGGGGAGTAACAGCAGATGGAAGATTTTTCTCTCTCTCTAAGTAATGCTGTCTTTAAAATAAATTGTTAAAAATAGTCAATTAGTATCTAAAATTTATGATTGAAATAGGCTACCCCAAATGAAATTTGCTTTCATATTAATCTCAAAACTTAGAAGTTTGAGTTAAGAAGCGGCAAATATTTTTATTTAGAAAATTGTAGATTTGTCAGGGAATATTGTTCCAATTTTAGTATATGTGCTGCCGAAGCGAGCACAAGAAATGGTCCTGAATTCTGAGGTCAGAGGCTTCCTTGGTTCCAGCTGCTCCTGTTTGTTTTGTTTTGTTTTGTTTTGTTTTGACAGGCAGAGTGGACAGTGAAAGAGAGACAAAGGTCTTCCTTTACCAATGGTTCACTCTCCAATGGCTGCCGCGGCCGGCGCACCGCGCTGATCCGAAGCCAGGAGCCAGGTGCTTCTCCTGGTGTCCCATGCAGGTGCAGGGCCCAAGCATTTGGGCCATCCTCCACTGCACTCCCTGGCCACAGCAGAGAGCTGGCCTGGAAGAGGGGCAACCGGGACAGAATCCGGTGCCCCGACCGGGACTAGAACCCGGTGTGTCGGCGCCACAAGGCAGAGGATTAGCCTAGTGAGCCGCGGTGCCGGCTTGTTAGGGAATATTGAAAATTCAACTGCATATTACTTCATGACCAGTTTTTAAAAGTCTATCTTCTATGGTCGGCATTGTGGCGTAGCAGGTTAAAACACTGCCTGTGGTGCCAGCATCCCATGTAGGTACCAGTTTGTGTTCCTGCTGCTCAGCTCCCAGTCCAGCTTTCTACTACTGTGTTTGAGAAAGCAGCAGAAGATGGCATAAGTACTTGGGCCCCTGCTACCCATGTAGCAGACGCAGATAGAGTTCCAGACTCCTGGTTTCAACTTGACCCAGCCGTGGCATTTGTGGCCATTTTTGAATGAACTACAAAATGCAAATTCTCTCTGTCTTTCCCTTTCTGTAACTCTGCCTTTCAATTACATAAATAAATAAAACCACTATCTGCTAAAATATAATTAGCTTAGAAAGTACCACAAATCTTCAGTCAGCATGAACATAAAATTCATACTGTATAAGCATTATGGGACAAACATCAATATTAGTAAATAAATCTTACAAACCTAAATTAAGTTTCATTTTCAACATATTCTACGTTAGGCATAAAAACTAAATAGTACTTAGGCACAAATTTTCAAGAAAAATCATTTTCAGTGGCCTTTAGCATTATTTTCAGCTGTAGGCAAAGGGGCAAAGTCCATGGGGTCCCTTTTCTCATTATTCTTCAACCAGTGGGTATCTTTCACCCCCAATACCTATCAAAAATTCCATGTTGTGAGTAGCCATCAGTCACTTTATTAGAGAGTGCTAACGAAATGACAAAAATTATTCCCACTTCCTCAAGATCAGTGTGGCCATTTTTTGTTAAATATTAAGGATAAAATAATCAGATGCTGAGGATAAATTAATTAAAATGACTTGTGATTTTTGATACTCCTACTTACAGTAAGTAGAACTGAGAAGAGGTCCTGCATTTACTAGTAATAAGTGGGGTGGGGAGAGGATATCCTGTGAAACATCTCAGAAAATAAGGAAAATAGAATCTCATTCCTGAAACATTGACAAGTCCCCCTCCGTAATTAAAAGTCAAAACATGAAAGTCCTGAGTCTACTTTGATGATAATGGCTGAGATTTTTAAATACAAAGAAGGAGCAGGAGAAATAGGGGGAACAGGGAGGAAAGGGGGGGGTCACAGAAGGAGGAGGTGGAGCAGCAGCTGCAGAAGCCACCACACATTTCACAATTTATCATGATGAATTTCAGGAATGGAAAGTTAATATTTATCATTGCTATTACTGAATATACATTCAGTACTAATGTGTCTACGAACTGAATGTAAATTGTAATGCATTTCGAAAACAAAAACCTTGGTACAAAATCAAAAGGATTACTTACACTTCTATATTTAACTATGTATTCCAATATAGGGGCTCCTCCATCATCCTGTTTGGTGATGCTGAGTTTAAAGCTCTTCCCACTGCTTGGCTGTCCATGTATGGATGGAGGACTTGGTTCACCTAGAGAGTCAATAACACATTCTTAATTTTCTACATGTTTAAGATACCTAGAGAAATGCATTTTAATAAACACAGTGAGTTTTAATCAAAATATATGATGTTATCCTGGATATTACATGTGATTTTTGCCCTTTGTTGTGACATAAAAATGTCTGATTCTCATTTTCCTAGGTGGTCAAAAGAAGCAGCAATTTTCATAAATCAGGAAGAATCGTGCCAACATTCTGAAATGTCAGGAACAGATTATTATTTATATTTATATTTATTTATATTTATCTTTATGATCAGATACTCTGAAAACAGTGCTGCATTCTGTAAGTGTAAAAATTTACTTATTGTATTAACAATGAATAATAATATTTACCTTGTCAAATAAATTTATTTCATACAACTTATTAGTATAAAATATTATCACATCAAGCTACATAGATTGTATACATAACAAAAAGATGATGCCTTACCCTTTGTTATCTGCTGTGATCAGCATTTTTTCTAATAACAAATTTGCATAAAGAACAATTCTAGTGTACAATTTTATAAACTCTGTGTTTTGGTATTTTTTTCTTTTAGTCTCATGAGAATACTTGGCTTTGATGTTATTCTTCACATAGAAATGGTCTTATAGGCAAGATACTCATAATAGGAGGATTTTTCTAAATTTTTTGGAAAATGTTGTATAAAATACTATGCATGAATTTTAACATTTTTGTACCAAAATAAACTTATCTTTTAATTTTATTTTTCACAAACTTTTTGAAATACCCCCTTTTTTTTTTTACTAGAATAGGGATCTATTGAGGTGCACAAATTTCCTTTGTGAATGATACCATCATTGCATGACAATTTCCTTTGTGAATGATGCCATCATTGCATGACAACATGGAATGAGAGTTCCATGCTCTGTGTTGCTGATGCCATGTGCTTGGACATGCACCGACATCACACTGCCTCTATTTTCTCAAATTCTCTGTGGATATCAACATCATGATGTCTTATAAAACTGGTAGCTTTCAATGCTCTAGAAACATGTAGAACTTGGTTCCACAGAGAGGAAGCCCAAGACAAACAAACTAAGCAAAGCATAATGGAGAGGGTTGTCTAACCTTAAGATGAGAAGTTTCTTTGAGAAAAGTAAAAATTGAGTGTTTTGCATGAAAATAGGTAATAAAGTAGTCATATGTTGTAACCCTATGGAAATACATAAATGCATTATAGTGGAAATGGATTGTGTATTAATTGAATTAACATGCAGATATTTGACAGCATGTTATATAGAAAATGCAATAGACCCAAGGTGTTTTAAAACTTCTATAAGCACCAGCATAATAATTTTTAAAAAAGTATTTTATAAGATATATTGTGAAAATCAAAATATTATAAAATGGATTTTATAGCTCACATTTTTTAATATCATTTCTTAAGTGAATTACATCATAGGATACACTAGAAGTTCTCTGCCATATTGTAGTAGTTATTTTTAAATAGCATAAGGATATAATTACAAGCAGAGGCTATTTTAATTAGCAAATGCCTTAGATATAAATTTAAGGTATTTAATCATATATTCAACTTCTTTAACCTTATGCCAAATTTGTGAATAAGTTACAATTGAAACTTTCTTGGAAAATCAAATAAAATTCAGAACAAACATAGATTCTAACAAAGAGAAAAGATTGAATGTATAGCTTTATAATTTTCATTACAATGGAATTATTGTACACAATGATATGAAGAATAATCAAAAATTAATTATAGACAGTTATGGCATACTCAGTAGTTTTCACATATTTTGTCCTTTGAGCTTTAAAACAGTCCTGAGAGCTGCTAAAATATAGACTTATCAATAAAATATTCAGTACTCTTTCCTCCAGGTGTTCACTGTTTATAAGAGAAGTTGGCAAGTCAGCAATAATACTCCAAGAAAATAGTATTATTATAATTTAAAAGAAAGAGAAAGGAAAAGAAAGAGTGGTGAATTATGATTGAAGCTTTTAAAGAAGTGTTTTATGATCAAATGAAGGAACATATGGCTAAATGTAGCAGGAAATCACGTTGATTGTAAGATGATTAGAAGTTACTCGGGTCTGATCAGAAGCAGAAGCACCAGGACATGATGAACAATTTTTTTGGGAAACTGTAGTTCAGCCTTCTGATAGAGAGGACTTTGTGGCAATTGGACTAAGAAGTGTAAGGGTGGTTGGCCAGATTAGGTGTACATGAATGCAAGGTGGAAATAAGAATGTTTTGAGAATCTTAAGCAAAGGAGAGATAGGTCACTATTTAATTTTTGTGAAATCACTAAGAATCATTTAAAAATACTAAGTAGGGGAAGATAAAATTGGATGTAGGATTAGAAATTGAGATGTACTGGAGTCATCCTGCTGCAAATAATAACCAGTGATTAAAAAAGACATCAGCATTGGTGACGGAAAAAAGCGAATACATCAGACAGATTTTATGTGAACCAAAATTAATTACTGAATCCATATTAGAGGAAGATGATTTATTGTGACCAATTTGTCTGTTTTTTAACATGCATATAAAAGAGGCGGGGTAATGCATAGGTTTTAAAACAGAATTTTGCTGTCACATTCAAGTTTTTTCACACTTTTTAACTTTTTTCAAGTTTTTAAAAATTTTATGTTAACTACACAGAAATCCAATTGACTTAAATACATTTGAATAGGATAGTACTAGGAGAACAAGAATACTTCATTTAGTCTCATCCTATAGTCACTGCTGTACGGGATTAATTTGTTATTTTCAGTTCTTCACACTTAGGACCCACCTAGTTTGTAGAATAAAGGCAAAGGTCATGTGTCATCAAGAGAACAAAATAATCAGTTTGTTACAAAAACAGTGCTTTATTCTCTCACAGAATAGTCTGAACACTACAATCCAATTAATCATGCTATGAATAACAAAGATGCTTTCAAGAGGGAGCCATTGTTCAGAGAGCACTTTTTATTTTACTTATTTCAATGCATCTTATCTTTTTTGTATAGCTCCAAAGCAAAGTTATTTTTATAAATCTGATATGCCACCATCTTCAAAAACTGCTTCACAAAGACATAATTCACTTCCCAAAAGTGTTGAAATGTACTCTCTAGATTTGAAAATACCACTGAATTTGTGAGTTGAAGAGAATGGCAACAAAGAGCAAAACAGTTGATTACTTACGAACTGGTAATGTTTGGAAGACTTCTATTTTACTGTAGTCTCCTTGTCCTTTTCCATTTACAGCTGCAACCCTGATTTCGTAAGTTGTATTTGGTTCCAGGTTGCTCAAAACAACCATTGCTGGAAGAAAAAAAAAATGCATGGGCATGCTTAATGTATCTTAATAAGGGAAATGTATCAACTTATTACAATGATGAGTGAAAAAATTTTCCACTGAAACTTTGTGAGAAATATCTGAAAAAGAGGTAAAGTCATACAAAAAAATAATTTGTGAATAGTCTACTTTTAGTTTTTCAACTCATGTACCAACTTTCTTTCTTTTCATATTTTTGTTTACTTAAAGGTAGATAAAGATCAAAGCAGAGAGATGGATCTGCCATTCCTGGTTCATTTTCCATATGTATACATAGGCCTGAGAGAGATTCAAACCCTGGAGGTGGAATTGATCCAGTTCTATCACATGGGAGGCAGGGACCCAATTTCTGAAACTACTACCTGCTGCTTCCCAGGGTCCACTTTAGCTGGATGCTGAATAGGAGCTGAAGCCAGAACTATGAACCTGGGGACTCAGATATAGGATGAGAAAAATCCTAAAACTGACAACTTAACTTTTAGGCCAAATGCTCACAATCTGCATTAACTTTCAAAGGAAAATGTTATATCACTCACAAAGTGGAAAGTAAAACATTTTGTTTCATCTTTTTAACACAGATATTATGAAAGTAATGGAGATAAAACAAATTTCCTATATGTATTTCAAATATTTCATATACTATAAATGGATTATTTCTGTAGAAAGTAATGGAGGCATGGGATCCTATGCATAGAACACTGATGTCCAGTATAATGTATTTCAGTTATGTTAAAGAAGTTTCATACAGTTGGATCTGTAGCAAAAGTGGATCATTTATTCTTTAATCTCAAATCAAGTCAATTTTTAGGGCTAGCTTGAAGCATTCTGATCATTTATGTTTCTCTGAATTTCATCCTAATTACATGTCAAAATCCTGGATTCAACATGATACAAAGTTGGCAAAAGAATCTGAATAGATATAGGGAAGTAAATATTATTAGAAATAGTTCCCAAAGCATGTCAACCTTTATTATTTGATAAATAATTTTGGATGCAATTGAAGATTTCAAGATATTACCTCTTCGCAAATTCCTCTAATAGAGTTTTAAATAATTCCATAACTGTCCTTATTTTTAACTAATTATTCTTAGAAAACAAAATTTCATAGAAACAGCAAAGCTTTGATGAGAATTAAGAGGAAATCATATCTGGTTTGCAAAACTACAAGTCAAATAATCAATGCATTTTTTTAAGAAAATAAAATTAAGCATAAAATAAAAAGTAAAATCATAGGTAGTCAGGATCAGATTTGCAAGGTAGAATCATGATGGGGCCAGCACTGTGGTACAGCAAGTAAAAGCTGCTACCTGCAGTGCCTACATCCCATATGACTGCTGGTTTGTGTCTGGGCTGCTCCACTTTCTGTCCAGGTCCCTTCTAATACCCAGGGAAAAGCAGTGTTTGGGCCTTTGCCACTGACATGGAAGACCTGGAAGAGGCTCTTGGCTCCTGGCTTCAGCTTGGTCCAGCCAAAGAGGAAGGACGATCTTTCTCTCTGTCTCACACTGTCTGTAATTCTGACTTTCAAATAAATAAGTAAATCTTTGAAAAAACAATGATGATTAAACATTAAATGAACTCAAGCAAATTGCTAATATACTTATTACTATATATGTTTTTATAATTAACTGTACTTATTTGCAATCACTATTTGATTATTGCCATAAATCAGATTCTTTTATTATGTTTCAGAAAAAATTTCATATTGTTATCTTTTGTGATATTATTTATTAGGATTTTGTCTTTTTATTAATAAATATCATTAATATAATTATTATAGTATTTTATGTGTTTCACAGGTACAATTCTAAGAAGATAATGATACTTTCTTCTCTCCTTCATTCCCTGCCTCAATCCCTCTCCTTCCTTCTTTAAGTTTTGCAAAACTATAATTTCTGTCTACTCTGTAATCACAGATTTTAATGTTGTTTTTAAAATTTCTCTAAAATGTTCTGATTTAATTAATTATACTTATTTTAAGGTACAATCTGATGATTTGACATAGATGGCATTTTTCAATCTACATTTTTTTTTTTGACAGGCAGAGTGGACAGTGAGAGAGAGAGACAGAGAGAAAGGTCTTCCTTTGCTGTTGGTTCACCCTCCAATGGCCGCCACGGCCGGCGCGCTGCGGCCGGAGCGCTGCGGCCGGCGCACCGCGCTGATCTGATGGCAGGAGCCAGGTACTTATCCTGGTCTCCCATGGGGTGCAGGGCCCAAGCACTTGGGCCATCCTCCACTGCACTCCCTGACCACAGGAGAGAACTGGCCTGGAAGAGGGGCAACTGGGACAGAATCCAGTGCCCCGACTGGGACTAGAACCCGGTGTGCCGGCGCCGCAAGGCGGAGGATTTGCCTAGTGAGCTGTGGCACCAGCTCATTCTACATTTTATAAAGATATTTAATGGATTTGTTTTGATAGTTCCTTTAGTTCATTATCTCCCACTGTATTCATTGTTATGCCATCTGTTTAACCTTTTTTTTTTAAGCTTTACTTATCTGAAAAGCAGAGTGACAGAATTTGGGAGAGACAGTGAGATACAGAAGAGAGATGAGAGAGATCTTCATCTGCTGATACATCCTTCAAATAGTCACAATAGCATGGCCTGGGACAGGCTAAAGCTAGGAGAAAGGAACTGCATCCCGTTATCAGGTATGGGTGGGAGAGGCCCAAGTCTTTGGTCCATCTTCTGCTGCCTTGAGAGGTACATTAGCAAGAGACTAGATGGGAAGCAAAAACCAGCACTCTGAGAGGGGAAGCTGGTGTCACTGTGCAGCTGAAACCACTGCACCACAACGGCAGACCCCTGTTTAGCTTTCTGTATTGTAATTATTTCATCTTCCTTGAGTGACCTCTTAAACTCTAGAAAAGAAAAACAGAAAGCAAGTTGGAGAATACACTGCATAAATATTTTGTCTAAAATACACAATTAAAATATGTAGATCAGATAAATGATAATGGTGAAGATGCGTATCCCAGATATCAACCTGACTTGAAGTAATACTGTACATTTGTTCTATAGTCAGCAGAAAGGTAAATTTCTGACTGGAAAAATTTAGTGTTTCTCAGTGTCTTTACCTTATAGGAAAACTAAGCATGCTTTTCAGAGTTTAAAAGCCTTGTGAAAGCCTCAGATTCTGATCCATGTGGTCAGATTTAAAGAAGGCAAACTGGGAAAAGATATATTGGCATAGAAATACAACTGATTAGAGGCTAAAGTATAAGTGTAAACACAAGGATTGAGTTAATGATTGCAGACAAGCTACAAACTTGCAGCTTTTTTTCAGGAAACACAAATCCAGTTAGTGACCCAACACCAATAAATAAGGTTAGCTCCAGGAAGCAAACAAGTCTACTGTGTAGAAAACGTGAGTAGACATGTGGAACTGGTTAGGAAAACTACTCAAAATCAGTATAAAATTGAATTCAAGAATTGAAAATCAACATGTTGGGGACGAAGCTGTAGCACATCAAGTGAGGCTGCCACCTGGGATGCAAGCATCGCACATGAGTGCAGGTTTAAGTCTCAGCTGCTCCATTTCTTCTCCTACTCCTTGTAAAGGAGCTGGAAACAACAGCATATGATGGTCCAAGTCCTTGAGTGCCTGCCACGCATGTGGGAGACCTGGACAGAATTAAGATTTATGGTTTCAAAATGGCCCCGCCCTGGCCACTGCAGACATTTGGAGAATGAACTAGCAAGCAGAAGATTCTCTTTCTCTCTCCCTCTCCCTCTCCCTTTCTATAACTCTAGCTTTCAAATAAATATAATAAATCTTTAAAAAAGGAAAAAAAGAAGTGTGAAACACTTCATTGTTTTAGGAAATATATATATATTTATATTCTTACTGCAGTAACCTTTTGTGTAAGACACTATAATGATACATGCTAGATCATGAAAATGTCATACACACATATATAAATGTTATATACTGTGGGGAGCAATCCGGACTAGACTGAGTTACTGGAATTAAGACTTATTCTATGCATCTGCTCTCCCACAATATGGCGCTGGGAGAGAAGTAAACAGCTTCCGCACAGCTGCCTCCAGTTCAACTAATAAACTGTAGGACTTGCTATTGATTGGAGGAGAGCAGCGTACTCGGCGTGTGGGCAGCGGAGTTAGGATTGGCGGAGGAGGACTATAAAGGAGGAGAGAGACGGCATGCACCAGGAACATCTATGGGGAACATCTAAGGGGAACACCTGTGCAGCCCCCGAGAAGAGCCGGCCGGCGGTGTGCCGCTCCCCTGCGGAAGTGGGGAAAGCGGCCAGGGGGAACTGCCCTTCCACGGAGGTGGAAGGGATAGTAGCCAACCCGGGAAGAACCAGCAGCAAACCCGGGGAGGGCCGAGCAGACGAAAGAACAGCGCAGGGTCCTATGTCGTTCCTCCATGAAGAGGGGGAGCGACAATATACACATATATAAAAAATGAAACTATCAAAGTGTTGTCTTATCACAGGAAAATTTAGGTTACTACTTAGATTGGACAATAAAAACAATCATCCCTCAACAACAACAACAGAAAGTAAGCCCATGTTTCATTTGAATTCTCTGCATTTCAGGCACAAGCTCATTCTGCCCGGTTTGCCAGCATTCCAGTTCCTCTAACATTTCCCTGTGGCCGTGAAGAGCTCTGAGTGTCCCAACACCACAGCCCAGGTGAAACCTCTTTCTTTATTAAATTTTGATTGTTAGAATGGATTTTCCCCATGTTTCCTCATGTTTTTCTGCTCTCGGTGTCAGAGCTCTCCTGAGTGTTCTGAGTTTCATGTCAGAGTAATTTGCATAGGAGAGGAGTAAAGAGGGTAAAATGATGGCTAAACTGTTCTTCCAATGCCATGCTAAATCACTCCAAGTTAAAAAGGACGAGGGAAGGCCCTGTAGATGATCTTCAAAACTACACAAGGGAAGTATAAAAGTAAACCTATTGATGCAAGTTTTACAAAGTTTATATACAATAAGTCAGCTTGCTGTTTTAGTTC